GCGAGCGGGGCTGCGTGCGTGGCAGCTGAGGTCATGGCGCTATTAATTTCCCGTTAAAAGCCCCGATGGCTCCGGCGCTGCAGGGATGGAAAATGAAGCAGCTCCGATTGCGGCTGCTGCAGTTAACCCCTGCGAGGTTGCCCGACTTTTTGGGTTGAGGGAGCCAACTCCCACTGTACCAATGGTAGACTACAACCCTTGAAGGTTGATGGTCATCACCTTGGCCACTCTGCGGTGGCTGCAGGTCCTCATCTGGCTCCTGGGGGGGCAGGACTCAGGGGTCCCTTCAGACATCCAGGAAACCCTTCCCGGCGCCTGCAAAGACCTGGGCCAATTTAATCCGTGGCCAACCAGCCAGGCTGGAGCCACATCTGCCCACCCCGTGATGCTGGACACCCGGCCATTGCTGAGCGCCCGGGGTTGGATTTCACCCTCAAAAGCCCCCGGGGACAAGACCGGGGGGGTTTATTTTGGTAACTTGAACTTGGGAAACCCCTCAGCCATGGAAAAGGGGGGGGGCGGGGAGAGGAGTCCTGTGAAATGCCGTGGCAGCTGGGGGCTCCCGGTGTCCCTGTGAGGAGCCCCAAGTGTCTTCACAAAATTCTTTGGGGCTTTACGTTGAGCCTTGGGAACGCCGGGGCCGGGGAGGTGTGTGTCCCCCCCTCCTCGCAGTGGAGCACAGGGCATGGAGCAGCTCTGGGGCTGCTCTTGGATCAACTCAAGCCCCATCAAACTACCCAACATTTGCAGGACATGGGGGGCCCCTGTCTTGGTCCCTGCTCCCTGTCACACTTGTCCCCATCTCCTGGTTGTTCTGGTCCCCTCTTCTTATCCCATTCGTCTCCTTTTCCCACTCCCACTTATCCCCATCCCAAAGACTTGTCCCCTGGTCCCACTGGTCTCCTCTCCCGGTCCCACTGGTACACTCTTCTGGCCCAGCTCATCTCCATCTCTTCATCCCACTTGCCCTGCCCTGGTCTCACTGGTCCCTTCTGGTACAATTTGTCCCCACGTTGTTCCACTTATCTACTGAGCCCACTTGTTCCATCTTTCAGTCATATTTTTCCCCTCTCCTGGTTCCTTTTTTGTCCCCAACTCCCAGTCCCACCAGTCCCACCTCTTGGTCACACTTGTCCCCAACTACTGGTCTCATTTGTTTCCCTCTCCTGGTCCTGTTGGTCTCCTGGTACCATTTGTCCTTTCTCCTTCTCCTACTCTTCTCCATTTCTCTGTCCCACTTGGCCCCTCTTTTTGTCCCACTTCTTTCCCCTTCCCTGGTCCTTCTCTCAGGGGCAGCAGAGGCAGTTTTGGTGCAGCACCTTGGGGCTGGAGCCTTTCCCTGTGAGGAAGCCCACTGCAGCCTCCCCCCGGGGCCTTATCACCAGATGCCCCAGCAAGTGCAGCCAAGAGGGTAACGTGATTTTGGCTTGGCTGTGAGCTGAGACTGGGGAAACTCGTGTCGTGCAAAGCCGCTCCATGCCTTGGATCCTGCTGGGCATCTGCATTGCAACAGCCCTTGTAGTCTCACGTGGGGCAAAGGGGCTAATGCCAAAAAAAAAAAAAAAAAGTAAAACCAACTGCTCCGGTCCCCAAATCAGGCACTTGGCCCCAAAGCAATTCCCCATCTGGTGCAACCTCAGGCTTGGTGCTGGATCTGGCCCCAAACGGCTCTGTTCTGCATCATTTTGGCCATCCCTGAGCACTGTGGGCCAACCAGCTCCATACCCAGTGCCCAGCTGTGGTGCAATTTATGGTTTGGTTTGGTTTGGTTTGTTTTTTTAAATTTCTCCCCCATATAGTGATTTCTCTTTTCACAAGTGACCTGAAAGTGAAAAAAAAAATCAGTGAGAAAAAAAGCACTTTAAAACAGGTTAAAAAACACCTCTGAGAAAGAAAAGAATTTTCCGCCAAGCTTAATATGGGAAAAGATGTGTTTGCAAAAATATTTGGGTTTTTGAAGGGGTTCATTTAATTATTTATTCCCCCATGCAGAACCTGGGCTGCCGCAACCCAGCTGAGCTCTCCTCCATGGCCATCCCCTAACCCCTCGTCTCACCAACCTGGACCAACCCCACGGCAAAAATCCTTTTTTCCCCCCTTTTTTTACAGCAGCCGGGTGTCGAGGGGCCTCCCCTTCCCGCAGGCAGTGACATTTCCCAGGCAATACGTCATGTTTGCTTAAGAGCACAGCTATTGCGGGAGAGGAGGAGGAGGAGGAGGAGGCAGGGAGCTGCAGCTCTGGGGGGCTGCAAGAAGGGAGGGAAATGGGGAAAAAAATCCCACCTTTCTTTTCAACATCCTTTGGGAAGGCTCCAAAAACCTCCGTGGCCGGTCTCAGTAGGGTTTCCCCAATGTTTAATCAATGTGTTTTTAAAGCCCAGTTATTAAAATGTCTCATTTTGCTAAAATAAAAGGGAATGGGGAGAATCTGTGACTGATTCAGCAGCGCTGAAGTAAAAGCACCTCTGGTCCCTCACGGTGGATGATGCTGGGCGGGATTCACGAGCTGCTTTTATCCTAAAAAGTATCGTTTTAGAGAAAAACTGTCTCCAGGTGAAACAGAACCATTAGCAGGGAAAGGGGAGATGGTTGGGCTCCTGGTTTTGGGTCATGCTGGAGCCCTCTGTGGCTTTTTTGTTGGAAAGGCTGGAGAAAAAGGGATGGAAAGGTGGTGGAAGATTGCCAGTGGTGGAGGTGGGAGCAGTTGCTACAGGCTGGATCCAGGAGATCTCCTCCAAATCCAACCCCAAGGGATCCCCCACGCCCCATCCTGCAGGAATCCTCTGTGTCCTGTTCTAGGTGATCCCCACGGCCCATCCTGGATGAACCCCCAGGTCCCGCCCCAGGCCATCTCCCATGGGCCATTCCAAGTTGTCCCTCATCCTCCACCCCGTGTGGTGTGTCCCCCCCCCCCCCCAGGTCCCATCTTAGATGATCTCTCAGATCCCATTCTAGATGATCCCTCAGGGATCCCTGAGGAACCCCCAGGTCTGATTGCTTGGAGGATCCTCCAAGCCCCATCCCAAGTGAACCCCAGTGTGCCATCCCAGGTGAGCCTCCTCTCCAAGGTCCCATTTTCGTTGATCCCCTATGTTTTACTCCAGTTCGTCTCCCAGCACTCATCTGAGATAATCCCCTAAACCCCATCCTAGATGGTCCCCCATGTCACGTCCCAGGTGAACCTCCTCCAGATCCTCCCTTAGGTCTTATCCCAAGTGATCCCTCAGGTCCTAGCCTAGAAGATCCCCCGGGACCCATCTCAGGTGGCCCCTAACCAAGGTCCCACACTAGATGATCCCCCCCAAGGACTCAACCCAGGTGACCTCTACTCCAGGTCCCACCCTGCAATCTCCACCCCCATGTGCAGGCGGGGCCATCCTGACCGGGTTTTTGGGGTGGAAATGGCCAGTCTCTCCCTTCCCACCCCATGCCCCTGCTTTCCACCCTGCACGGACCCCTCCCAACCTCCCAGGCACTGAGTGCATCTCCCATACCCGCTCAATTAATTTAATTGTTAACCAACGCCCGATCCAAACCGTCCTGTGAGTCATGGATCTGCCCGGCGTGGCAGGAGGCAGAGTGTGAGTGCCGGGCCGGATTCTGCACACCCCAACAGCTCCTTCCCCTCCAGTGGAGAAATTTGGGCCTGGAGAGTTGGATTTGGGTAACAAAATCCCTTCTCATGGCAATGCTGAAGCAAACAGGACCCTCCCATCTGCTCATCCCAAGTGACACCAGCAGAAATGTTCCCACCACGCTCCAGAGCATCAAACTGCGGGAGAAACAGGCAAATGTCTCCGGTGCAAAAAGCACAAATAAACTTTTTTCTCTGGGCTGGTGCCGCTGCTGATGGGGCTGCAGGGCTGAGGTTTCTGGCCGGGGTCCAGCCTCCCGTTAAAGTCGGTTGTTAAGAAAAACCAGCTCAGGATAAGCGGCGTGAAAAAATACTCTGGTAATTAAACAACCCCAGAATAGAAGGAGAAAAGGTCAAGCCTAAAAGACAGGGTACGGTTCTGTGCTGAAGCGTGGCATTAATAAATAACTGTGTTTTCGGGAAGGTCTAATTTTAGCGACTCGGGTACAATAGCCTGGCGTGACCCTTTTGTTCGTCTTGCTCTTGCTGGATTTGGGGCTTTATTTTACCGAGCTTCGCCCCGATCTTGTCCCCGGCAGAGCTGCAGGCGGGTTGAATGTGCGAGCGAGAGGGCAGCACGTGGTGAAGGCGCCGGGTGCTGGGCTGGGGGCCGTGCCTGGGGTGGAGCGAGCGTGGGCGCGCTCAGCCCCGCCGCCCGGCGTGCCGGCACCCGCCCAGTTTCCCCAGGTGTCGGGAAAACAACCGGGATTGCCAAAGATCCCGGCCCCAGATACGGACTGGGGGTGGAAGGTGAAGTCCCTGTGGTGGCTTGAACCTCCCCAGAGCCGCGACGTCCACCGCGAAACACCGATGCCCCGCTCACGCCACCTCCCCGTTTGCTCGTTAGTGGCTCGGCGTTCATATGTATAATTAATTTTCTTTAAACCCCTCCGTGTAGGGAATCACCCCAGCCTGGGGTGGGAGGGCTGCTGCAATCGGGTTTCACCCTCTCTGGGGAAACTGAGTCACGGGGAGCGTGACGGGGTGGATGACAGCCAGGAAGGGTGAATCCTGCTCTGCTTATCTTTGAGATGGGGATTAGAGCTAAATCCATCTGCCAACTCTCCCGCAGATTTTAGGGGTGAGTAAAGGGCCCCCCAACACCCTGGGGGTGCAGATGACAGACCCCAAAAGGGATGGGGATTTGGGGTGCGGATGGTAACAACCCCGGGGGGCTGCATCTGGAGGCCGCCCAGCACCCACGAGGGGCATTTTTCCAGCTTGTAGGGAAGAGGAGTGGGAGGAAAGAGGATGGGGGGGTGTGATGTGGGGCCAGGATGAACAGATGTGGGTGATTTGGGGCGGGGAGGGGGGGTGTTGTTATTTTAGCAGGGACCCCAAAGTGAAGCTGAAAGAAGCACTGGCATCCATGGGAGGGACATTTCTTTATTGGCGCAGTGCCGAGGGACACGTGGTGACCACTGGCACCCCCACGGACAGTAGTGTCTCATGGGGGGCAGCAGAAGGGACCCCCCCCCCCCCCAATGTCCATCTGAACCCCGTGCCCCATCCTGCCAGGTGGGATGCAGGCACTGGCTGGTGATGCTCTGGCTGGGATAAAAGAGGATTTTTCCAGGCCGGGATGGTGGATAAAAGGCGGTAAGGGGATGGAGGGGCTGGGGGGACCACCACGGTCTCTGTTCCCTATGAAGAAATGAAAGAAAAATTAAAAAAAGCACCAGGAACATAGATTTTTTCTTTTTTTTTTTTTCAACCGCCAGCAAGAGCTGTAGGGCAGGAGGTGGTCAGGATGGGGGGGAGATGCAAGATTTGGGGTGGCCATGGCCACGGGTGGGTTAGACCCCACGGTCTGGGACTTTCCATGGACGCTGGGTTGGGCGTGAAGCCGCGGCCCAGCAAGTTACCTGCGGGATGGGGTTGAGGGTGGTTGGTGGCGGTGGCGGGGGGCTCACTTCTCCGTCATCATCCTCACGAACTCCTCGTAGTTGACCTGCCCGTCATTGTTGCAGTCGGCCTCCTTGATCATCTCATCCACCTCCTCGTCGGTCAACTTCTCGCCCAGGTTGGTCATGACGTGCCGCAGCTCCGCCGCGCTGATGTAGCCGTTGCCGTCTTTGTCGAAGACGCGGAAAGCCTCGCGGATCTCCTCCTCGCTGTCGGTGTCCCTCATCTTCCTCGCCATCAGCGAGAGGAACTCGGGGAAGTCGATGGTGCCGCTGCCGTCGGCGTCCACCTCCCCCACCATGTCCTGCAGCTCTGCTTCGGTGGGGTTTTGCCCCAAGGAGCGCATGACGGTGCCCAATTCCTTCGTGGTGATGCAACCGTCTCCATCCCGGTCAAAAAGGGAAAAAGCCTCCTTGAATTCAGCGATCTGCTCCTCCGACAGCCGCTCGGCCATGGCGCTCCCCGCTCGCACGCTGCTCTGCCCCGGCACGCCGCCGCGCCGGCGGGGAGGTGCAGATGGAGCCTCCTCCCTCCAACCTGCCTCTTCCCGGAGGAGGAGGAGGAGGAGGAAGCAGGAGCCAGGGCACGCGGGAGAGGTTGAACCATGGGGTCAGGCTGGACCCCGGCGGAACGGGCAGGGGAGTTTTTGGGGTGCTGGGGGAGAAGGGTGACCACCAGCCCCCTTGGGCTGCTGCCCCTCTTGCTCTGCCGGTGGCATTTCACGGGGCCGGCTCCTAACGAATCCCCCTAATTAAAGGATTTGCACTGTGGCTTGCAGCAAAGCAGTGGTTTCAGGGAGAGGCAGGGCACTGGCGGAAGGAGGCGGGCGGGGGCGGGGGGTGATACACACTATTTTTGGCTATTTGAAGGCAATTTAGGTGGGGTTTGGAGCTGTGCAAAGGGCTCCAGCGCTGCATGGGGGGAGTTGAGAGGGGTCCCCCCCCGTCTCCCCAGCCCCAGGGCCACCATGACGATGCTGGCAGCATGTCAAACCTGCCAGGGGAAGGTTCCCTCATGCAGGTCCAGACAGAGCCTGGCTGCCCAGAGCTGATGTACTCTGCACTGACAGAGACCTGAATCAGCCGTGACTGCGCTCCCCGAAAACGGCCCCATGGCCCCCCCAGGGCAGGTGACGCAGTGGTGCATCAGGTGAGCAGTATCATGAGTCCTGCCCCGGTTAGTCAGGGGTTAACCCCGGGGCTGAGCGAGGGGTAACCATGTTGTAATGACCTGCTTTCATTTTTACTCATCTCTTACAGCAGGAGGGTTTGGAGGCAAATGATGATGAGGGTTATTTCTCTGCCCAATTGCCCATCCATCCTACTGTCCATCCATCTATTCTCACCACCTTCCCTCCACCCATTTATCTGTTCATCCATCCGTGCCTGCATCTACTCAGCTGCCCATCCAGCCACCTAACCACACATCTGTGTGTCCATCCGTACACCTAAACACATTATCATCCATCCATCCATCCATCCATCCATCCATCCATCCATCCATCCATCCATCCATCCATCCATCCATCCATCCATCCATCCATCCACCCACCCATCCACCCCCCCATCCATCCATCCATCCATCCATCCATCCATCCATCCATCCATCCATCCATCCATCCATCCATCCATCCATCCATCCATCCATCCATCCATCCATCCATCCATCCATCCATCCATCCATCCATCCATCCATCCATCCACCCACCCACCTATCCATCCATCCATCCATCCATCCATCCATCCATCCATCCATCCATCCATCCATCCATCCATCCATCCATCCATCCATCCATCCATCCATCCATCCATCCATCCACCCACCCACCTATCCATCCATCCATCCATCCATCCATCCATCCATCCATCCATCCATCCATCCATCCATCCATCCATCCATCCATCCATCCATCCACCCATCCATCCTTACATCCACCCACCCATCCATTCACCCATCCACCCCCCCATCCATCCATCCATCCATCCATCCATCCATCCATCCATCCATCCATCCATCCATCCATCCATCCATCCATCTAGCTGTCCCTCCCATCCTTCTTTCCTACGTGCCCCTAACCTCCACGCAACCTTTACCAGCTGGGCCAAGAAGCTAATGGACCAGATGATCAGGTGCAAGTAAAAGATTTTGACTTTCTTGGCTGCAAGAAAATGGTACCAGCTTGCCCCAGTTTAACCCTGTGAGCAATTAGAGTGGTGGGATTTGCCGGAAGGCCACAAAACAGAAGCCAACCCATGGGACAATTGAGGAAATGGGGCCTCTAGGTGGGGCCAAGTCTGGGAGGGGATCACTGTCTCAGGGAAAACCTCATCTGGAAAGAACTCTGGGCATGTAAAATGTTGCAGTTGCAGGGAGGAATCAGCCGAGCCGTGGCGGGAACCTGTCTGGCGAGAGGCACGGCACTACTCGCCCCACGAGTGAGTTCTGGGGAGGGGAGGTCCTGGCAGGTCCTCTTGTGCAACAAGCTGCTAATTGTCTGTCTAATTGCCCACGCTTGCTGTTCTGCTCCAGATTTAATAAGATCGAATCAAAATTGCTGTGCGAGAGCCCTGGGCAGGCAAGCAATGAGCCAAGAGGAGGGGGAGCTGGCACAAACCCAGCTGGGAGAAGCAAACACCAGCAGATAACTGGGAGCTTTCAAAGCCCGGGAGGATTAAACGTTTGTTCAAGCGATGGGGGGAGTAGTTTGAGCTCCAAAATGGGGGTGGGCTGGAGGGGGACACCCTGGGTCACCGCTAAGGAAGGAAGAGTTGTTCCATCCTGGGTGTCCCTTGGTGCTGAGTGAAGCTGGAAGCCGCTGGGGGTTTTGTTTTCCCATTGCCAGCACCCATCACCAGCACCCATGATCTCCCATCACCAGCACCCATGACCTCCCCATCACCAGCACCCATGATCTCCCCATCACCAGCACCCATGACCTCCCCATCACCAGCACCCATGATCTCCCCATCACCAGCACCTATTACCTCCCCATCACCAGCACCTATCACGTCCCCATCACCAGCACCCATGATCTCCCATAACCAGCACCCATGATCTCCCCATCACCAACACCCATGACCTCCCCCTTGCCTCCTCATCCCCTCCCCATCACCAGCACCCATTGCCTCCCAGTTTGCAGCAGTCTTTGAGAGAAGGTCAAGCCAACCCTTGATTTAGGCTGGGCTTAACTGCACCCTCATTAGCATGGCAGGATAATTAACCCAATCAAACTTCCTACTGGCCCATAAAATCCTACAGTTCATGGCCAGGCATCCGAGACGGGATGGGAAAGGGGTGAGGCCACCGTGGGGGGAGGCAGGAGCACGCGGCCGATGGCTGCCGGGTTTTTTGGCAGCCGATTTGCCCGGGATGTCTCCAAGGGGAGCTGGAGGGGGGGTGGCTGCTTTTGCTGACGGCGGGCGCAAGCGACTGACGTTTAAATCCTCACGTCGGGTTTTCAGGTGGCATCGCCCTGCTCAGCTTCTGCATCTGGCTTTGGGCGGTCTGATCCAGGTAACGGCTGAAAAAAAAAAAAAAAAAAAAAAAAAATATATAAATCACTGCACCAGATGGTTAAAAGCACCCGGTTGGATTCTCCTGAGCCTGCGTGGCTCGTAAGGCAAACCCAGCTGTGCGCAGATGTGTGCGGCGACGTCTGGGTTTGCATTTGCAGACGAGGCGGTGGAGCCAGAGCTGGGGGTGAAGGGAGGGAGGGTGGGTGGGGGAGCTGATGAATTTGTGGAAAAAAAAAAAAAAAAGAGAAAGCTGGAGGCGGAGAGGGAAACCGCTCCGACAAGGAAACCTCCGTGGGGCCCCGTGCCCCTGCGTGAGCCCAGATGTGCCGAGGCTGGTCCCACCAGTGTCCGTGGGGATGGGGAGGAACCTCCGCAAAGCCCGTGTATAAACTGCCTCGGGGTTTAAGGTGGAAAATGGGATTTTGGAGAAGCTGAGCTTGGGTACGATCCTGCGATGGCTGCGGGGGTCTCCAGGGGTTGGCAGCTGCTGGGTGTAGAGTTTGGGCGTTGGTGGCTGGCGTTTTTTTGTTTTGTTTTTTTTTTTTTTTGGGGGGGGATGTTGTTTTAACGGAGGTTTCCAAAGCTGAGGTCGAAGTGCGGGGTTTGTAAGGCAGCTCCTAAAATCCGGCTTTTCTACCCCAAACGAAGGGACGCCCCAGCTGCTTTTGGACCTGCTGCCAGATGTCACCGTGGCGGAGGAGGGAGCCTGGGATCAGGGTGCTGGGGACGTGCCGGGAAGGTCTCACCTGTAAACCCAGGTGGTGTTTGGCTCCGCTCCACACGTAGCACCCGAGCCGGGTGGAACCCCGAAAGCAAATACGGAGCCAGGGGAGCTGCTTCCTGAAGGTGGGGTGCCACCGACACCTTCCCTTGCCCTGGCCGGGGTGGCCGAGGAGGGAAGGTGTCCCCAAGCCCCCTCTCTGCTCTCGGGTATCTCACCCTGTGACACCCCGGGGTCCCCCCCCCTCCGTGCGTGGGACGGGGGGGGGGGTTTGGCTCAGCGGTTTAGAGGAGAGGGGCTGGCCAGGAGCCGCTGGAGCTCGGCGCGGGAGGAAACCAGGAAAGCCCGGCTTGTTTAGTCTAGCAAAGCCAGGGCTGAGGAGGCAGACGGGCTGCGGTCTGCACATTCCTCCCCGAGGGACAGAGCGGGGAGAGGAACCACCGGGAGGCAGGCAGGGAATTACTTTTAAAGGGAAATTAAGTTCTTGGCTAATTCGCTGTCGGCTACAGGATGACCAGACAGAGGTTCAGCCTCGGGAGGATAAGCAGGCGCTCTGCAGGATTTCCTCTCGGTTGGGGATGAGCTGCGTGCCGTGGCAGCTCATTAATACCTTTTTTTTTTTTTTTTTTCCTAATGGCAAAAGGAGCCTTTTTTTTTTCCAGCTTCTCGCTGCTTGGGAAGGACTGAGCCTCCTCCAGATCAAAACTTGGCTTTGCAGGGCAAAGCTCAGCTGTAAAGCCTGGCCTGGGAGCTGGGCCAGCTGGCGAGCTCTGACCATCTTGTGGGGCCGGTAACTGGGTGCTCCCCAACACCCCGAGAGAGGAGGGGGGTCTAGTTCCCCTTCTGCTCAAAGCTCCTTCGGAAGTTTCGGTCTAGGAGAGGATTTATTTTGCTCAAGGGGGGGCTCTTTCAGTTCTGGGGGGGCGGTTTCTTTCCTGGAGGAAGGTTTCAGGGTGCCAGGGCAGGGATTATTGCCGCTGCTCCCTTTTCCCCCAGAAATGAGGAGGGTGATGCAAGCGCCGGGGTGAGTCAGGCGGCCGTGCCCCGTGTCACACCGAGGGTGGTGGCTGCCGGGACCTGCCTGGCCGCAAAGAGGATCCATCATACAAAAACGAGGGCTGGAGTAAATCCCCGGCTCCTTCCTGCGAGCTCCAGCCCCGCGTGGCCACAGGCTTATCCCCCCCTCCCATGAAGCGACTCAGACGAGGCAGGCAAGAGGCTGTCAGGAATTTAATTGTACTTGGCAGTCAGAACTGTACAATACATTTACAGAGAACCACACGTTTGTGTCTATGTACACCCTCTTCCAACGCTACTGGCCAAACCTGTGACAGGCATGAACTCTTTGCCTGCGAGTTACGGCTCCTCGAGCAGAGAGTTGAGGCACCGCTCGAGGACGGGAGCGCTGGCCTCGGCCTTCCACCGGTGATGACAGGACCGGACCAACCCGTTGGCCGTGCTCAACGCCGTCGCCGCTTTCGTTTCCTACAACGCTTCGCAGCGCGGTTACCACGCTGGCATCTCTCACCCGAATCTTTGGACTGCTAGAACGTGGCAGTGTCGCCGTTGCGAGTATATACAACCACTATCTCCTCTGTCCTTACACCTCATCGGCTTCAAACGCTTTCTTTGCTCTACCTTTCTACCACATGCAATAACCCCTTGGTTGCCTCCAGTCCTGCCTCCCTGCGGAAGGCATTTCATTTCTAAAAGGCAACAGAAACAAGAAAATCTATCTTCACTCCCTGCTATTCCCCTCTAGCTGTTGCTCCTCTTCCCTCCCCAAACCCTTTACGACGTGCCTAAAACCTTCCTAAACCCCGCTAGCAATGCAGTTCTCTTTCAGTAGTCTGGAGCGCACACAAGCCCTCGACGTTGCCCATCGTGACGGGTCACGTTGAGCGTCTCTTGACGCTGCCCAACGTGACGGGTCATGTTGAGCGTCTCTTGATGTTGTCCATCGTGACGGGTCATGTTGAGCATCTCTTGACATTGCCCATCGTGACGGGTCATGTTGAGCGTCTCTTGACGTCACCCATTGTGACAGGTCACACTGAGCATCTCTTGACGTTGCCCATCGTGACGGGTCACGTTGAGTGTCTCTTGACATTGCCCATCGTGACGGGTCACGTTGAGCATCTCTTGACGTCGCCCATCGTGACGGGTCATGTTGAGCATCTCTTGACGTTGCCCATCGTGACGGGTCACGTTGAGCATCTCCTCCAAGCCACCGGCTCGTAACTCTTGCGCTCCGCGGAACATTGGAGTGATGTGAGAAACGGTACGTAGGCGCAGGCCTCGGAGCGAGGAGGAGCGAGTACTCGAAAGGAAATGCCAAGTCTGAACAACAACACAATACAAAAGTAAAAAAAAAGAAAAAGGAAAAACAAAGAAAACCCCAAACTTGGAACAACACAACTAATAAAAAAATTAAATATCTGGCAGGTTACAAGAGTGAAAATGAGGAATGTACAAAGGACACGCTAAGATGAAAGATTCCAGTAGGTAAATTGAGAACCTGTTGAACCTGGGGTCTGTTTTTTTTTTTTTTTTAAAACATGAAAAGTTGCATGGATTATCATAGCCACACACTGCAAAACATGTGCTGTACAAGACAGGAAGAAAACGTGAATTCAGGTTTTGAGTCCACTTTGAAAGGACTCTTGCAGCACTGCTCCAAAGCCCCCGCAAAGGGAGGTGCTGCCAGGCTTGTGGTGACGGCCCCAAATTCTGCTTTAGGTTTACTGTTTCCCAGCCTCGAACGCAGCATGTGGAAATCTTTCAGAAACCAAAAGTTTGCTCTTCAAATCTGCCAGGAGCAGTGAAAAGCATGAGGGCTTCCGAACCACTCACAGCGTTAAAATCGGGTTCGAAGTGGCCACGTTTGTAAAAACAGACTCCAGTTCAACAGTGTTTACTGTATACCAGTAGCTGCCATTACAACAGGAAAAAAAAAAAACAACCAACCAACCAACAAATATTCTGTTCAGTAGAGTGAATCCAACCATGCTCACATTACAAGAAAAATATACACGTTATTTATAAATAAACAGTCTTCCACCAGGCTGTTGCTGGGCTCCTCTTTACACTAGTGTTTCTTTCCGCTTGCCGCTCAGCTGCTTCTCCCGCGTTTTTCTGCACCCAGACGACGTTCGGTGTGTTTTCAGGCCCTTGGCTTCCTCCGAGTCCAGGATGGAGCCGCACTCGGATGTGCTTTCGTCAAGCTCCATCTCAGTTATGCCAGACTGCCTCTTCTGGGCTTGGATGTTGGGTGCCGAGGGGTTGTTCTCCTCCGATTCTTCGCTCAGCTCTGGCAGCTCCTTCAGCTCTGCGGCGGCAGCAGTCCGCTGGAAGGGAGCGATGGCTGTTCGGATGCAATTAACCCATTGCTGCTTGTGGAAGACATCGTTGGCCTGCAGCGTGTGGGACTGGCCCGGGGAGGGATCTTGGAACCGAACTCGGAAGATATTTTTAGCTGAAGATAAACATAGGAAAAAGCAGATCAGTTCCTAGCTCAATATTTAGATTCTATTGCTAGACAAGTGACCTGGACTGCCCTGCTCTGCTTTAGGAAAAGCGTTCAAAACCCCATCAAAAAAAAAAAACAAAACAAACCAACCCAAACCCAACAACCCAGCAAAGACATGTTGAAATAGATGTTTTCTAATCTGAGCACCCACTGCAAAGCTCCATATAGAAGTTCACGGCCACCAAATCTAAAACTGCAAAGCCCAGCAGCGACAGTTAACCTCCATGGGGATCTACACCCAGTTGTAATCTCTCCTCACCAGCAGATTCCCACACAGATGAACTGGTTTGGTCTGTACCTTTATCGGAATTGCCAAAAGCTCCTCGGAAGGATCCTCCCATTTTCACATCTCCATCCTGCAGGTCTTCGAGGAGCAGCTCCTGGACAGGGATCGGCTGCCTGTACACTTGGTAGGCCTGACGTTCATTGCGAGTGACCGGCCGGGTCAAAACCAGGATGTCTTGGAAGAGGAAGACGTAGAGTTTCTGAAAGGGAAAACACAGCTGAATATGAGCAAAGCGTTGTACTTTGTTTTCAAAGCGGTCACCCATCCTCTGAGATTCAAGGCCACGTTATCTGAAGTTTCACCCACATTAACCGACAGTTTCCTGCTCCAGCACCGTCGGGCCCTGGCAGTGGTGGCACAGACCACGCTCATATCAACAGGTTTATTGTTTTAACGACCCTTAAAAAGTGAATTATGATTTACAGATGTCAAGAATAAGATGATTAGAAGCAGTGTATTTTCTAAAAGTACAAAAATGCTTCATGTGTACAGAAGTGTAATGGCTGAATGAAAGCAAAAAAAACCCACCCAACCAGAAAAATAAACCAGAAAGATCTGATGTTTAAAATGAGGTTACTGCTGGAAGCCAGAACAAAAAGCAGCCAGCCCTCGAGTAGAGCAGGGTCTTTCAGCACTGCTGCGGTGGGAGATAAACTTCTGGCAGTTCACCTCCAGGCCAAAGAGGCTTTTGCAGGAACACTTTTGTCTGGAAGAGCTGTGCGGCAGAGCTCATAATGGGGGAATGTCAGAGCACCTGAAAGTAAACAGCCGGCAGGAAATCCCTTCTGATGGAGTGCTTGGGCACAGAGCACACTTTCTATGGTAATTTTGTGCTAATTATTTTCCAGCTTCTGAAGGTCAATTGTAAAGCTCTCAGCAGGAAACTTTCCCTTACACCCTGAAATGAAGTCTGCCATCAGGTGCTTTCTCTTCTGCTTTTTAAATTTAGCTCATTGTCTAAACTAACCCAAAGGATGGAAGGGCTCCTGGTCCTGCTGCGACAGACAAACGGTTTAAACTACCTCTGAGGGAAGTTTTTCAAACTTGAGAATTAATTCCCGTGAACACGAGGGACTTACATGTCCATTTTTATTCTTCAGCTCCCCATGGCAGAGTAAAGCTTTGCTGCCTTCAATCCTCGGGTCCTTCTGCTTCTCATCCAGGTACTCCAGCTTGTCAATGTAATACTGGCACTCTGACTCCCCCTTCTTCAGGTTGATATCAGAGAGGACTCCTTGGATTATAGATATCTATAAACCAAAACCATTTACAAATTATTAAATAGTGCCCTCTGCGTGCATAGCTTCCCTTTAAATGTTATTTTGAAGAACCCCGGATGGTGGAATCCACGCAGACTGATCTCTCAGTTGCTTTCACAAAGGGTCCAAGTTGCAGATTTATGTCCACCAAGAAAACCATCCCACAGAATTGCTGAGGGTTTAAGAAAGCTTTCTGGAGCTCCAGAACGACATGCTTATGTCAGAAGAAGGATCAAGAAATCACTGTTACTTACGGCTTCTTCCAGAATCTGGATATCGGGATGGTCTTTGGGAGTGTGCCTCAGGATCTCTTTCAGGAGCAGCGGGTACTTGACCAGCCGACTTCGAGGAATGTCCAAGAAGCTCCAGAGGTCTAGCTTGCGGCTGAAAGGAGACTCCAGGCAGCGCTGAAGGAAATCCTGCACTCTTCGGTCCTGCTTCTTCTGATCCAGAAGTGCTTTGGCTGCCAGCTGATTGCTACAGTAGCCTTTGTAGGCGTGGAGTCGTGGTAACTGCAGGAGAACAGAACAATATTCAGGAGTCAAGTTTCACGTAGGAAAAGCAAATCACATTAACGTGTCAAACTCGGGGAGTTCTACATGCCTTACTGTTATAATTTGCCCGATAACAAAAAGCTAACAGACCATCTTGTAGATGTAGCTAGTCTTTTGTGAGGAGAACAAGGGCATCCTGCACGCAATGCCTCTGAAGTTCAGATGTTTGAGATTAACAGCGATAAGACTACTGAAATCACGTTAGTGACAAAGAGTCTAGAAGATATAGACATTTCAAACATAAATCAGCAAGTAATTGCAGTCACACTAGTGGAAGTCTCCAGGGTGAAATCGTGGCCCATTACGGCTGACAGAGTCCCATTGTTTTCAGGGTAGCCAGGATTTCCGTTTCGATCTTTTGCTCAAGGCCACAAAAGCCCACAGCTTTTCGGCTTCCAGCTCTAAGTGTTCTTTAAGCTCTTTTTTAGCCTGCTGTCTCCAAGTTATGTACTCACCCACTTCACAAGAATGGGCCCAATCTGCTCCACTGTTCCATCTGGTTTTGTTGCTTCTCCTAAGCTTGCCAACAAGTCTAGAATTGAAACACAAAAATAGAAATTGCAACAATGCCCCAGTAAGCTGTTCTAATATGAGAAAGCACGGAGTTTAACTCATAGTCAGCACATTATGTGAAAATGATCCTGCTGCTCTTACCTTCATGCAGAGGAATATAGGAATCCAAGTCCCCAAATATGTGGGTGAGTTCCTCCTCAGACATGATGGAGAGTTTCAGCATGGGATCATGGTAGGCCTGTCAAAGAATGTTAGTATTAAAATATATTCAAATCTCCCAAGCCCAAAAGCTGACAGTTTAAATATGAGGGGATATACCACGTGCAGGGCAGATGTGAAGTGAAGCCAACAGAAACGGTAACGCTGACTTTGATGACTAAAAGATTCACCTCTCTATGAAGGTATCAGGGCCTTCAAATGAAAAGGACTTTCCTGTCTGACCTGTTCTCATCTGGGAGAGGGATTCCCCAGCTAGCTCTGCAGGGCTGCAAAGCGGCAATCCTTTTGTGGCTGGGTTTGTTGCAGTCAAACCAGTATTGTAGGACTGCTCACGTCAACTTTCCAGGCCAGCTTTCAAACTGTGGATTCTGGGCCTGATAAAGCTGGTATGTAATGTTTGCGGGTGCAAAGAAACTTCATTATTAGCTGTAATATGATTACAGACCGCAAGAAAAAAACCACTCACCTTTCTGGCAAGCTTCAGGTCTTCTATTAGGTCCTGCTCTCCCCTGGACATTTCGTATATTGCCTGTGAGGAAGGGGACAAAGCACCCAGAGTCATTTTTAATCCCAGCCTTCCTCTGAAAGAGCCTTTCAGCTCACATAATGCACATCCTGTGTCTGAGGCTTGAATAGGAGGTTTTGCCATCTGAATCACTGTATGCCACCTGGGCATGACAACCTCAAGTAAATCTACCAGCTTTCCCAGCTCCGAGAAAGCAACATTACTTACAACTGTGTGAAAGCTCTGACACTCACGCACAAGCCAAATTAAATATTAGCGCCTTTTAAATCACTGCTTTTACCCAGGCAAGTACGAAAAAAACAAAACCCAGAAAACCACAGAGGTCAAATCCCAGGCGTCTTTAGTCAGCTTCTGTGTTGTCACTAGAAGATTTGTCTAAGAACTACAGGAAAAAGGCAAGCCAAGGCCTTGCTATTTGGCTTTCAACCAATTGTCAAGAGCTTTAAGAGAAAGACAGCTGGCTTTACAAGGAACCCGACTTTGGGTCTGCTGCAAAGCAACCACCGTGGCTGGGTCTCGAATTTCAGAAATGCTGAGCACCCCATGGAAAGAGTTTGGCATCTCTGAAGGGTCAAATTGGGGAGACAAACTCCCTAGTGATTCCAGAGAGAGAAGCCTACCTTTTCCCATGCCTAATGCAGAAATAAATCTAGCGGTTTAGAAATGAAGATAAAGTCACCCACAGATGCTCCTGACTCCCTTCCCTGCCAAGAAAATGGCACAAGCCAAGGCTTCGGCTACCTTTCTCAGTGCTGCTGTTTAACAGACAGCCTACCTCCTGGCGCTTGATTTCTTTGGTGCTCAGGGACTCTTTCATGTTGACATCTAACATCTCAGACCAAAGCACACTGTTTCTTCTTTTAGGAGGAGTCGGAGCAGCGGATCTGCTACATGACTTCTGGGCACAGCCAGGAGACTTGCTGTCACTGCGAAGGGCAAATGACTACAGGGATTTAAAAAAAAAAAAAAAATTTAAAAAAATATGTAGAGCCAACATTTCAGAAGTACAGAAGTATTATATTATTATCCATACCCCTCCCAAGCCTCTGTTGTACAGGGCAGGAAAACACACCCAGACACTTTTCCTCAGATAAAGGAACACTTTAATCAAGCTGCTGAGAAAGCCCTGAGAGCCCAGGGGTTGGCAAGCTTTTCCACGTGCCTCTCCCTGCACTGATCCAGCAACAGTGCTTGGGAGGAGGATGGGAAGGTAAAGCTTGGGTCTCCTTCCAAGGTATGAGGAAGTAAATAAACTAGGATCATAATTCTGCCTATAATGGGGCTAATCAGGAGCCACTTGAACTCTGCTCCCGTGATTTGCAAACTTACTAAAACCCAGATGCAGAAGTGCTCTTATCTGCATGTGTGGGGTATGGTGTTCCTTAGACAACGCTCTTCTAACTTTATTGGACGCTGAACAGCAGGGTCAGTTCACATTTAAGCACATGCTCCAATACACATATCTCAAGTACTGGAGCGGTTTATCAACTAATTCTCCCTATCTGAATCAGTTTGTTAGGTTTTTTTACAGCTTAAACCCTCAATAACCTGGTTATCTAACAAGTTACTTCTGAACTCCTGAACTCTTCTTCATCGCCAAGTTTTAAGGAAGCTTTCTGTCCTTGCACGAATCATATAGCAGATTTTCAAGAGATGCCTTGAAATCCCCGTGCCTGTTTTACCCCCGTACAGCCAGTACCTTGCCCATATCTCTAGGCTCCTAGGACTAGCAGGCTCTGCTTTTTACCTGTATTGTCTGCCCAAAGCGCCGAACTGCACCATTTCTTACAGGAGAGATCAAGTTCGCCAGGGATGTGACCCGTGCTAAAGGCCGAACCCGCTTATTGCTTGGCTCCTGTAAATAAAGCAGAGAACAAATTGTACTGGCTGTGACTCCCACTTCGTTTCTCAAGCTGCCCCGGCAGGTTTAAAAAGCATGAACCCACTTAAGGAGTGGGAAACACAGCAAAGAGAGTGTTTTGAAGTAGCTATTCATCTTAAATGGAAAGCAGAGGCTGTAAATATTTGTCTGAACTTTAAGGTTGCAATTAAACTGCAGAGGCTTTGCCCAGTGTAAAAGAGGCAAGATATCATACACGCCAGTCAGAATTCAAAACAGGGCTCAAACAGGGACCGTTACAGTTTGAACATAAATAGAAGCGTTCTCCTCTGCAAGGCAAGGGACTGTCATCTAAAGATGAGCTGGGAATCTGCTTCTCCATTTTATCATGTTTTCCTTTGTAGAAAGAATGTGTTTTTCCATTTTAATTTTGTTTTGGAGAGAAAAAGTAGCAGTTGAAGCTCAGGACAGCCTCAGCAGCTATTCTACCAAACAGCAAACAACCACATGCTGAACATTCCTGCGAGGGACACACACACGAAGTGGATGAAGTTTAAAACCTTCAGTTTACAAAGCTCCCTCCCCATTCTGCTCCCCACTACCCCCCACAAGTCACCATAATTTTTCTTATATGTTGTTTAGATTTGAAAGATAGAGCTTCTGCTTTTCTACACCACTAATCCCTGCTGGGAGCCCAGAGCATTTTCAGTTCTGTCCTGACCGAAACGCTGCCAAGAAAGAGGAAACGCCCCATGGAAACCTCCTGCTGCTTAAGCTCAGATCAGCTTTTAAAATCATGCTGGCAACCCTACGTATTTTACATCAAAAATATTGTGTTGTAAGGACTGTACAGGAAAGGTGTACGCAATGGGACGCCAGGAAGAGATGGACTCAAGAATTTAAGGCTAGGAGAAAGGCTAGATGAGGTGCCCTGGTGCTCTTAAACATCTGGTAGATGGTTGAATGTGACTCATCATCACAAGGAAATTTCTTACTATGGAGTTCAGAGGAGTTGATGGAAGCAGCCTTTTTTGAGCTCATCTCAGTAAAAATTTTACCAAAGCTTTATTAGGCATTTTTGGTTAATTACAGTCGAGTCTCTCCTCTTAAGTTTCAAAAGGCTAAAAGGCAACGACTGAGAAGACTGCTGAGGACAAGCTCTCTGCTGTCTTTACTTCCAGTCTGAGATTGCAAGACACGGCGCCCAAACCCTTTGCTTCTGTGTAGCAATAGAAGTGACAAATGCTGGAAACAAAAAAGAGGAATAGGAACACACAGAGCTGGATTCCAGTCGTGAGACTGAGGAAGCATAAAAACTACATATGTAAGATCCTATTTCAGCAACATGACCCGAGGAGTGGCCCGTCTGTCTGCCTACGCGCAGTGTTAAGCAATGGAGGAGGTTAGCTCACACTGAATTAAGCCTTCAAAGTTGCAGGGGGGAAACATGAAAAGAAACAATTTGAGCGATGCAGAACAGAAAGACCTCTTGGCACAGCGTGGAGCTCGTTCAAAGCTGTGCTTGAAATGTTTGGGTAATCTCAGAACTGCGAGGGTACTACAGAAATGGGGAGAAGCTGGAAGAGAGCGTCCTCAGCCCCAGGACCCTGACCCTCGGCTGGGTTTCAGTAGAGCACCGGGAACACTGCAGTCGCTTCTTTCCTTTGCCAACCATGAGCCTCATTTGCACTCAAGACAGTCTGTCAGGAAAAGGATTCTGCAGAAGGCTGGAAAGTTAGGCTGGGCTCAGAAGACAAGGAGACTGTAATTAGTTACAGACGTTTCTGAGTGGAGGAAAAGGATAGGTAATTTACTTTTAGAAAACTGTATATCGGTGTACTAGAATAAAGGGACACAAGCCAAGAGAAGCTTAAGAAACTGCAGGAATGTAAGCAGAAAATTACACAGACATAAGCCACACACAGCTCTGTCAAGGCCAGCGATATAAATAGCATGGAAAAGAAAAACATGACACTGACAATTAATAGCAAGAAACTTCAGTCCTTTAGGGCGCTTGTACAGGCTTTCACAGCTCGCTGGTAAAGGGTCAGCCCTGCAGCCTTTCCAGATATGAGACGCAATGACACACTATCTGTGCTGAGGGACATGTGTGAATGCCTTCCCGGCACATCTGTGCCAGGCTGAGGCGACACATGCATTCGCACAAGGTCTGGCAGAAGGCATTCCTGCCTCTCCGTTTGGGACCGGCGCTACAAAGGGGCTCCCTGGGATTATAAATCGCCGCTTTACCCAACAGTGGATTCATATCGAGATATGCAAAGACAGGCTGGAAGCGAAAAGCACTGCTCTGTTGAACAAGGAGCACGGCTCCCGAGAAGCCCAGCTCTGCTCTGAGCAGGGAGGAATTTCGCGCAGATCGGCATGACCAGAGTGTTTTCTGTACATGCGATGTGCTCCCCTGGGGTGTTCGGCCAACAGAAAAACTTCTGTATGCTATAAATTCAGTTTAGCAAAACACTATTTCCCCTCTCAAAGAGAAACAAATCCCACTCTCTGTCCTGTGAGTGTTCTCAGACATGAACAGCTCGACTGCCAAAAAAAAGCATCTGTTTCTTCTTCTTCTCCTTCAAGTGCTATCATTTGATCCAAGGTAGGGAGGGGAAAAAAAAAAAAAAAAAAAAAAAATCCCTCTCCCTCGAAACCTCACCTCTGAGATCTGCATTTCAGTTTGAGGTCATGTACTCCACTTACAGGCAAACTCAGTCGCTGTGTAAGCTGAGACTCAGTGCAGTTCATACTATGGATAACTTCGGCTCAGTATTTTTTTTTTTTAGTTCTGTACTTGCAAACAATGATTAGCTTGTCTCCACGCTGTCTTACTTACAGAAGCCCAGATTAGAATGAAGTCTGCAAAATTTCTGTAACAAGCTAGTGGTGTTAAGCACTGAAGGACCGACAGGTAATTAAAACCCCAGCGAGTTCAACAGCACTTCTGCTTCCATTCAGAATTTTTTTTTTTTCCAGGGGACTCTTTATTAAACGTGAATATAAATCATAAGCCTAAACATACACACAAAAGCTAAATTTGTGCCTGGGTGCCCCAGCTGGCAGGCAGGACTTTACACTAGTGGAATTTCTTCAAATGCTTTTAAGTGCAGGTTAACTCTTCATGTTGTGAAAAGATTGCACCTTGCTGCCTGAAAGAAAGCCAAGCTTTACTTTTGAGCAACAAACATTTTCTTCTAGCAGCACGCACGCCTATAACCTTTCCCCCCTGTGCTAGGTAATAATTAGTGGTTTTTACAAGGATCGCTTACTAGAGAGCAATGTCCTACGTGCCAGTCCCATACCAACGCACACAAACACGGTGACAAATCTGAAAACCACGCGCAGCAAAACTTTTCCTATTAAGCCAAATAAGCAGAAGGGGATTTTAGTCACCAGCTCGAATAATTCCTGCCAGAAATTGCCACCTGACTGTCGTACTTTAAGATTCACGTGCAAGCAGCTTGCCGAATCTCAAGGTCTGTTCTGAAAAGGGCTGTCTGCACTCAAACCCAACAACCGAGCTCTGGCTTGACACATTGGCACGGAGATTACAACCCTCGCCTTCCTCAAATCCTGGCCCCGCGCTCTGCTGATAACTTCAGTGGCTCTTGATAGCAGCTCAGTACCTGGCACTGGTAGGAGAGCTGGTTTTAGGAGTCATTACTCAAGCCCAGACCTGAAGCTTAACTTCAGATACCCAGCTGTTACATCCTCCAGAAAATACACGTTTTAAGAATTAGAGGCGATTTACTCTCCTTTAAGAGGTCTGGTTTATGTTCTTTCTCTCCCAACATCTGGTTTCCCTTTTGCACAATGAGATTGCCCAAGTTTGGCTGTTTTAAGGCCAGGATTTTAAGAGGCTGGCGACTCAGACCGAAGCCCTCAAGCCCCAGAACTGTCTGGAGCCGCTTTTTTTTTTTTCTTTTCGACCTCATCTCACCGCTAATCTCGGGCAATAAAACCCTGCCCAGGGCAGCCGGTCCCTACCTGGCTGCTTGAACTTTTGCCTTCTGTCGCAGCAGGAGGCATGCGAGCATCTACCAGGAATGCAATTATTCTCATCTACATAACAACAGATGATAAAAATAACAATACTTCAACAAAACCCAACCCTCAGAACCCCAACCCCCTATGAATTTTTTCCATTTTTTTTTTGTTTATGCAGCAAACAAACGGCCTAATTAGGAAAAATCCTGTCAGTGGAAAGAGAGCACAGAGCAACAGGCGTTTTTTAAATGAAAATCCCGCTGGGAGGAGCGGGGTCAGATGAGGCGCCGAGCTCGGCTTCGACTCCTCCGTTCCCACTCCTCTGGGGGGGCTATGAAACAGATAAAAGTTTGGGGGTTGTTTTTTTGAAATTGCTGCTTGCACCTCACTCCCGGGCTGGCTCTCAGCGGGCAGAGCAGCCAGCTTGTCGCCTTCCCTCAGGCGCGGAGAGCGGGAAGGACTCCGAAACCCACAGCCTTCCCCCTCAAAAAAAAACCAACCCCCCCCCCCAAAAAAAAAACCATAAAAACCCCCGCCTCACCTCCTGCTCCCTGAAGGACTGGTTCTGCGCGTCGATCACCCGGATAGTCCTTTTGATGGGCAGCAACCCCCCGAGCTCGTCGTGAGCCACCATGGTGGCCGGTCGCGGCGTGGCCCCCCCCGCCGCCGCCTCAGCCCGCGCTCATCCCCGCTCTGCGCCCGCCGCCGCGCCGCGCCCCGACCTCACCGCCGGGGCGGGGCTACCGGCACGACCACGCCCCCCCTCCCGCACGAAACCACGCCCACCAGCAGATAGCCACGCCCCCTCCCCGTCGGCAGGGTCCCCGCGGGCGAGGATCGCCAGGGCCCCATTCCCAGCCCTTATTTCCTCCTAAACTCCCCCAAAATAACACCTCTGAGAGGCTCTACTTTAAGGCAGCGTGATGCAGGCACCCACTGAGGGTCGAGGGGACTGTTCCATCACACCTCGTGCTGGAAAGTGGTTTGAAAAGCACACGGCTTTCACTATATTCGCTGAA